CTTCCGTGCTCAAGACAAACATCCTTTCTTACCTTCTCTGGTTACTGGTAGGTTGGAAATTCCTTTTTAGGTAACTTAATTTGAAGTGTGATATCAACTGTTATACTTTTGAGACTTTCCTTTGTAGTTAGAATAATATAATATATTGTAAGCATGAAGAATGTTGGATCTGCACTTCACTCTCTATTGGCTTATATTAAAATACTAAGTTGAAGAGATCTGTACTTTTCTTCTAAGTCTCCAACCAAGATTTTAAACCAAAATCAAGGTTTCAATCCAAACTTTTAGACTTGGTTCTTGCATTTCAGGTATTAACCAGTGTCTACGGGCAGTATAGAATAAGCTGGCTGAAAACAGTTTGCCTTGGTTGCCAGTTTTCTATGGTTTCTACAACCATGAAAAAAAAATAGAATATAATTTTTTTCTTAGTGTTTAATTCCTCAAAGTGGCGAAAATAAGTGCCTTTTCATATAATTTAGAAAGGCATTGAAAATACAAATATCTTGAGTGTTGCTGGATATTAAGATCCTTCTTTGTGCAAATAACCAGTGTGTCTTCAGAGAGAATTTGTGTGAAGATCTGTGAAAAGCCTTTCTCTCTCTTGACCATTGTTCTCCTATCACATCCTACACATCCTGTCCTACCTTTGCTGGCCACAAGGTATTTGAAATGTTTCTTTTCTTTGTTTTTAATCTTTTTTTTTAAAAATCATTCCCTGACCATTGTCTTCATTTGCTTGTATTTTCGTGCAAGAGGACTCTCCACCAAGGGCTGAATTTGGTCCTCCACACATGGGACCCAGCCACTGCTGGATCAAATGCTCATCACCTCCAGATTATCTCCAGATTATCAATCTGGAGTTTGGAGTGAAAGATCTTTGATAGCCATGGAGGAGCAGTGCAAGTGACACATGCATGGGCAGCTGGAGGGCAGAGGGACCAGGAGAGGTTTCACCAGCAAAAGTTGAGAAATAGAGAAGGGAATTGTTGCACTGCTGGTTCTGAGAGGAAAAAAAAAACAACAAACTCTCCAAAAGACAAAAAACCAAAGTTCTGCAGTTGATTTATATTTCTATTATAGGCTTATCCTGTTAACTTGTTCTTAGAGAAGAGCTGTTCCCTGAGGTACAATTTATCCTTTTTAGAAACTCTCCTCCCCCAGGAAAGTTGCAACAGTGGAAAGAACAAAAGTTGGGACGGTGTTTGAAGGAGGAATCTAAGAAAAGTGGTTGAGCAGCTGGATTCAAAGCTGCATGCAAAGAAAAACTCTTTTGGGTGCAGGCACTCAGTGTAAATACCTGAGAAGCACTTGTTTCTCAAAGAGGAGGGCTTCATGAGAGTTGTAATTGTCATTTTAGAGGTTTTCACCCAAATGCTGTTAAGGTGGTGTTTTGAGAACTACAAAAAGAATATTAGGAACGATTCTAACTATTCATATTGTTCTGGTTTGCTTCTTCTCCATGGGGAGCACAGAGGATGTAAATGTAGCAGGGGATTGGATGGGTGCAAGGGATAAGAAAGAGAAAGTTGAGTGAAGAGCTTGAAGGGCACAGAAGATCTTTGCATCCATGAGGACTCAGCTGCTGAGTCAGGCCCGTGGCTACGTGCACCCTCAAGAAATACACATGTGCTGATAGAAAACAGATTTAAAAGGTAATCGTGAAATTGCTTCAGAGCTCTGGATGTGTTTGGAAGGTTGTGACTGGTTGTCAGTGATGTCATAACCATATTTATTATAGCTCATAAATGGATGGGTCTGACTGTTTTCCTTATTTTAATGTATAAATTGCAGTTTATAATGGCAATAAAACACGCCAGGCTGTGCATTTCAGGGTGATTATTGCATTTCTCAGGTGGTTAAAGTTACTCTAACTGCCTTTTAGCTCAGATTTCAATGGTATTTGCCCAGTGTTCAGGCCATTTTTACTTGTATTTTTATGTACAAACCTCAAATTAAAGTGTTTTATTGCTTTTTAATTAAAATGTTGAAGTGTAAAGAAGGAATGGTCACAGGCAGATAGAGAGGCACAGTAGTAGGTGTTTTGATGTGAGAGGGGAGTGTGTGAGAAGGGAGATGGGGAGAGGGGAGTCTGCAGGGCCTGTCACTGGTTTTGGGTATTTTACAGGTACCCACTACTGGTTCCAGTAAACACGAGGCTGAATGGAAACATTTGTGAGCCAAAGGCATCGGTGTCTGCCTCGTAAAATCTCAAACTGAGAAATGAGGGATTAAACGGCTGTGAACCTTTAATTAAGTGCTCAGCACCAACGTGCCCTCCTGCTGGAGGCTGAGCTGTGCTGATTGTCCCCACACAGGAGCTTGTGGGGAGCTCAGGCCCAAGGTGTTCCTGATTTTCAAGGCAGAGAGAAGTGCTGTGCTCTCCCTCTCTGAGACAGACCCAAACCCAGTGGCAATGGTGGGTTTTTAGTGGAATGCAGTTATTCTGGGAGAAGTAAATTCCTGGCTATGTGAGTGAATTAATTCACCAGTTTGGGCCGAGCGCAGGGTGAAAGTTCTGCTCCTGAAATCCTTTTGGGTGATGTCATGTCTAAGAGCCTGCAAAGCACCAAAGTCCTGGTGTCACGTGTGTGTGTGGAGTGGTGGCTTTGTGTGAAGGGAAGGACAGACCCACCTGGACACTGGGACAGGGCTGTTTCTTGTGATGGAGCCACCATTCCATTCCTCCACACACTTATTGATACCACCTTGTTCCTCCTCTAACACAGAATCCTGGAACAACCCACCATGTGGATGGTTTTTCTCAAAAGAGAGAAAATATTATCCCATAAACATGCAAGGTGGAAGAGACCAAAGAGGCACCAGATGGAAAATTTAAGTTCTCACAAGAAAATGGAGGATATGGTGGACAGCATATGTAATGGAGAGCAGGTTAGGAGATGTTGTTATTGCATTAAATAGAAGGTTTGAAGGAGAACTGTAGGTAAAATAAGAGCCTCCATATACACTGTCAAAGGAAAAGAAGAGGAAGCAAGTGGAGGGGAGGTATTACTTGTGAGATTTCCCCCATTAAAAACAATGTAGAAGGAGGGTGTGCAGTACAATGTACAGCTGCAGTGAAATGTTGGGGTGGCTTTAGGCAGTGTCAAGTGAATTGGGATGGAGCTACAAAGGTAGAAGAGCTGAAGAAGTAGACCAATGAATTTGCAAATATCAATACAAATAAGTAGATATGGGGCTTAAACCAACAAATTTTAACATTCATGTTATCACTGAAAACTCATCCTTGATGACCTAAGAGGTCTTTTCCAGTCCAAATGATTCTCTGGAATGCTGTCTTGCTGGAGGTGAAGCTCCTTCCTGCCTTGATCCTGTGAGCTTCTCAGAGAGTGGTGAAGATGTGTGGCAGACCAGGACAGAGCATCCACAAGGCTCCTGCTCCTCTGCAAGGCTCTGAATCTGAGAAAAATTATGGCCATGTCTCAGGTTTGTGGTCATATTTCAATTTTAGGAGTTTCCATCTTGAGGCACGGCCATTGCAGCTCTTTGGGTGTGTTGAGTTTTGCAGTCCATGATTGTTGAGGGGTTGGATATTTTTATAGAGAATTACAGAATAATTTAGGCTGGAAAAGATTTCCAAAACCATTGAACCCAGTCTGTGACCAATCTCCCACTTGTCACCCAGACCAGAGCACATCCAGTTGGTCCTTGGACACCTTCAGGGATGGGGAATCCTCCACCATCTCCCCTACCAGTGTTTGGATGCTACACACAGTCCAAAGTCTTTAATTGAGATTATCTCTTCTGGTGCATCTTTACAGGAATTAGTGTCAGAGGGCTCTCGTTTGTATCATATTGGTACAAATTTAAATAAATTAAGAACTAAAATCATGACTATTCACATGGGTAAGGGCATGAGTTTTATAAATTTAAATTAGGGATTGAGTCTTTCATTAAAGAGAAAAAACCCTCCACTCGAACAGACCAAAACCCAACTGGTCTTGCTGCCTAATTTTACACAAAAAATGTACATAAAATAATTTTTTAAAGGCAGGTTTTTTTCTCCCCCATTGTTTCCCCTATCTTTATTTTTATTTCTCCTGTGCAAAATATCCCTCTTGCATACCTCCCCTTTCTTCCCATGCAAGAATGGAAGAAATGCTTAATGGGAACCAAAGCACGTTAGGAATATTAAGGAAAAATTACAGTATATACACTATGAAATGAAATGCATCTTTTGTGAATAAATCCCCCCAGAAATCTTATATTTCCAGGCATCCACTTACATACCTTCATGTAACAACTTATACATTCGTAAAACATTCATTGAAAGCAGCTCTGCAGTTTTATAGAAAACAACATGCCAGGGATGCAAGAATCTTGCCAGTTCTGTGAAAAATGACACCAATTAAAGCTTAAATTGCTTGTTTTCTCATAAGGTACATATTTTCATAACTTTGAAATCAAATAATTGCTGCTTTTATATTAAATACAATAAAACAAAAAGGATGCTAGTTTAGAGGAACTGCTACAAGCATTTTAATATAATTTTCCCACCATTTAAAGTCACAAAATATGGAAAACAAGTCAAGTATGCAAAGTTCCAAGGAGATAGAGAAACTCCTTCAGATTATTACATCATTTGTCTTTTGTGTCAGGAAATGTGTATGTGATTTCATTGTTTGATTAAATGCCAAAAAAAAAGGCATATTGCACTTATCTAACTGATTACAGATTTTATTCATCTGAAAAAGTATTTGTTCGTACTTTGACATTAGAAAGCAATATTTTTTTTAATGCTCCAAACAAGCATTTTCAAAAAAATTATAATCCTAACTTCCCAGGCTTGCTTTTTATTTTGTATTAACAATGCACTGTACTAAAATTTCCCATACTGGAACACAGTCCCTAGTGGTTTTCAAGCTATAAACTGAGTAAACAGTCCCTTTCTTATTGAGTGTCTGTGTGAGTGCATGTTGTTTCTGGAATACATCATATTCATTTGCAGAAACCCTGTGTATGGATCTTTAACACTTTTTCCCCCTTTTTTTTTTTTTTTCCAAGGTACCTAAAATAATGGCTTTTTAAGACAGTAATAAAGCCATGTAACTTGTGGGGAAAAGCACACTGTGGCTCACAATCTGAATTAAACGTGTGTCATTGGGGGTAAGTTTCATTTAAAATACCTATTTCTGCTAATTATTCAAAATGCTAATGCTGTGCTGCTGTACTATCTTTGATTTGTGTTAGCATGTTTCTGGCAATGCTGCGCTAAGAATATAGGAAAATCAACTAAAAATATTTCTGCATTGAGTTCCTTGGGTTTTTTTAGTAAGAGCAGAGAAAGGTGGCACTTATCGGTGACATTTTTTGGACTCTCACCATATCAGGGTTGATAAACTAAGCTTTACATAATGAAGGCACCTTAAAAAAAGCCTCAACAGAAATAATTTGAGGAGAAACACGAAGCTTCATCTAGGGACTTCAAGGTCAGATACCATTGGCCTGGCCTCCATTAACCCCCACAGGAAATCTTCCAGAATCCTTATTTTATCTTGAGTGGGTGTTCCCAAACTATCAGTCTTTTTTCCTTTTTTTTTTTTTTTATTTTTTTATTTTTTTATTTTTTTCTCCACCAAAATAGAGACACAGTTTCCTTTAAAAGACATGAATTTCATCTGGTAGAACATTTTAACAATGTTTACATGCCACGGAGAAATTTTCAGGGAGAATGGTGATATTTTAAATTGCTCTATTAACAAAACTCTGCCTAAATTTGGAAGAGGGAAAAAGATTTGAGAACTTAGTAAACGATTAATAGTAAGATATTAAAAGACAGCTAAGCGTTCTCAGTCACTGGGGAAAATAAACTGGGATGGTATAATGAGATCCCTACAGTCTTGTGATCAATCCAAAGTAGCAAGAATGTAATACCAATGGGTTAACTAATTATTTGTATATATTTAAAAAGTCTCTCAGTAGTCTGAATCGTGTCCAATGTGAATGCTGAGGATTACATGATCTATTATTAACCCATTAGCATTGTGCTTTCGGTGTTCTTTGGCAACAAAAAGCTCCAACAGGAATAAACTGTCTAAAATATGTGTCTTTTTAATAAAGTGGGTAATTTTTTTTTTTTTTTTTTTGATTGGGAGGGAGAGTGTATCTTATTTATAGTGTCATTTTAAACTCAAGTTACAACGTCTTAGATTTAAGAGACAGGCCAGCAATGCAGGCAAGGGTGTCTCCTGCAAGGAGACAGAGATTAATGCCATGTGTACTGATGATTCTCCACCACAATTTAGGATTCTGGTGGCGCCATGACGCCCGTTTTTTATGGTGGTTTGCCAAGAGAAAATTACTTAAACCAATTGTGAATGCGTTCCTGTTATACTTTTACACAACCACATTTCTGTACATAAATAGCATAATGAGTATTTTTTAAATGATCTCTCATTCCAGATTCACCTACTTTGCATAAAACGTCAAGCACAGGAAGGAGAGGAGTTGAGATTTTGTTTGTGCTTCTCTTCTTTTCTTTTTTTTTCTTTTTCCTAACTGAGAAAGGTTTTCACATGGGAATATACTTTCCCCCCCCCCCTTCCTTCTTTCTCCATGACAACTGACCACAATTGAAGTAGATTCTTCTTAACATACTGTAATGTGAGAATTTTCTTCAGCTGGAGGGTGTTTTAGTTTCCTAAATTGAAAGCTGTTCTACTTCACTGCATAAAATGTGAACATGAATGTTAGGATCAGTACCTTTGCCAGGTGGGAACTGGGACAGCTTGAAGGCCCTCAAAACCAGAAGTTTTTAAGACTTTACACATTTGAGGTTGAAAGCTGACTTGTTCTAAGCTGAAATGTTCTAAACCCAATAAGATATTTGGATATTAAGGAGAATCTACATCAGGGAAACAGAATATTTTAAAGTGCTTTTGCTAACTGCACAATTGTTTTTATCAATTTACTTGTTTCAAAATTTTGCAAAGAGTGCATTTATTCTTTTTTGCCCCAGTCTATGAAGGGGGGTTTCTGGAGCTGTCTATTTTATGGCATTATTTTTGTGAGGCTGCTCTAGGTCAATAAAGCAAGATTTATTAGTGGCTTTTAGAAATGCTGGTATTCTAATAATTGCTGTATTTTTAGGAGTGAGTCTCTTTGTTGCCTGAGCCACTTAATCTGTCTCCATGAGTTTGATTCCTGGTTGTGTCCCTATTTGAAGGCAATTCTCAAGTGCAAGTGTGCTCATGCTGGGTGAGGGAGCTCGCAGAGCTGCTCTGTCCCTCTGAGGGTTTTGAAAACTCAAAATGAAATGCAAGTATCTGGAGCGATATTTAATGGGAGGAGGGCTGTGTGTGAGGATGATGGGCTTGGAGGCCGCCTCTGCTTCTGGTTCTGCTGTGCTCTGAAAGATTTGTAATTCTTTTAAAGTCAGTGGCTTCCTACTGTGACTGTGAGAACTATGGTAATCAAGCCTGAAGCATTTGAATGACAATGTTGTCATGTTTAAATATTAATCTGACTGGAGCAGATAGAGATATATTGCTGGGAGAGAATAATGTGTGTCTATAAATAAGGTCTTTGACCAAGGCCAAAACGAGCACTCTCCCTTCATCCTTAGGCATGGAAAGTTCTTCCTGGTCTGACAGAAGGCTTGGAGGGGTCTGATAAACAAAAATCTTTAGTCAGAGTTGTAGTTTTCATGAAGAAAATGTCAATGTGTGTGCTGAGGAGAGGGTTTTGTTTGCTTTCTTACAAGCATTGCAACAAATAATGGAGTTCACACAAAACACAGCAAAGCAGCTGGGTCTGACCACATTTCCATTTTTATAGTGCTCATGGTGGAGAGGTGTTTACTAAGCAGGTCTCTACAGAAAAAAAAGGCAGTCTCCAGTACACCTCTGTGTGTTCTTTATCATAATATTTTGGTTTGGAAATTAGAGATTGATTTAAAATTGTGACGCTTGAAAAATAATTTCCTCTTGATGTGCAATTAAGTTTGGTGTTTAAGCATAACTTCAGCGTCAGAATAACAGATTTCTGGTGCTCTGTGTGGTTCCTGCAGTTAATGCACCCAGTTGTATCAATATCCGCTGTTACACCCCTGCAAATACGAGGGGTGGTCTTGGAAGGGCTCTTGCTCTGAAAATTGGGGAAATATTCCAGGGAAAATGAAGAAGGAGGACTAGGAGATTAAACAGTTTGGTAGTCAGGATAGAAGAGGTTTCCCAGCAATTTAGGGGCAATTACTGGAAATTATGAAGGTCTAGCATTGTGAAAAGAGAGAGAGAGAGGACTTTAGAAAAGAGATGGAAGGGCCAAGTACACAGGACAGAGAGGTCAAGAGGAAGATTGGCAGGACAGCCAAAGAGTTTTCCTCCAGAGAGAAGCAGAAAGGGATGACTTCCTAAAATAGAAAGCCCAAAGAGTATCATCAAAGGATTCAGCTGTGGGAAACCTGTCCAGCTAGAGAGGCAGCAAGTCTCAGATGTTTATTATTTTTTGGAATGCTGAAAGATGCAAAGCAGTCAATTTCAATTAAAATAAAAACATGTTTAGATTCAGAGTAACAAATTTGCCTTTCAGATTTTCTTCAGAAAACTTTTGCTACAGTTCAAAAAACCCAAAGTTATCTCAGGGTCCTTACATATCAGAAACTGCCCAGTTATTTGAAGCATAGTTGAAAATGGGGGTAGGGAACAGCATTGCAGAAATATGGAATAAGAAAAATTTATAATTTAAATTATCAAATATAAAGTGCAGCCCAGTTTGACTCTTATCACTGGGTAACATTTTCAGGCTCACTCATTTTTTAACTGCTCAAGTACCTTTATGATCACCTGTCATATGTGTGTCACTGATATCAGCTTGAAAAATCAGGGCTTGCTGTTAGAATTTTGCAGCAACAAGTAATATCTGTTACTTTTTCCAAGTGTATGAGATAATACAGTGTACATCAACTGCTGCTGCTGGAGAAACATTGACTTGTGATGTAGCTATGCTTGATGGCTTAATTATTCATTGCTTTGTTCCTTTTTGCTTTTATAAAATTGGTTTCTGTCAGGTTTGAAGTATGTCAGCTCAAGATCCAAACATGGATCATACTTGCAAAGTCAGCTGTACAAAAGTCTTCACTTAATGAACGTGTTTGCTTTATTTTTGTGCTTCTATAAATAATGCATAATGTAAATTTCTGTGGTCCAGGGTCCCTTTCCCAGAGGGGAGGTAGTTCTGGTGCAGGAATTTAGAAAGTTAAATCATTGTTGCTTCTGCTGAAGGCTCTGCAGCTTTATGTGAGATGCTCTCTAGAACACCTTACTCAAGGAAACTTACATTTTTGGCTGCCAAATGTATGGAGAGGGCACATAAATAATAAGGCAAGGGTTGGGTGTTTGTGGAAGTTGTACCCATATCTATCACAAAGCCTTTTTCTGCAGGCCTCTGGTTTAAAGGGAACCTAAAAAATTCTGCCTCTTATGCATAAATGTTTGTTTGACACTTTGTCAAATTATCTGGGTAGCCCCATAAAAACTTGATGCTGTGGTTTTTATCAATTTTATATCCAGAGTAAAGAGGAAGAAGTTACTATTTTGCCAAATACACATTTAAGCCTTCAGCCTTTTGGTGAGAGTTGGGACATTTCAACACTAGTACGTAAGCAGGAAAAGAAATCCAAAATGTCCTTGTAAGGAAGCATCTGTTTACTAATGATGCTTGGCTATTCCAAAGCCAGCCCTGTGTACTGGGCTGATTGCAACAGGATTTCAGAGGAAAAGAGGCAGAATATTTGGATGAATTTATGTGAATTTAACAAAAGCAAATTTTAGTAGTAGAGACTGATATGTTTGTGAGAGCTGTGTGAGAACGGTGCTGCAGAACAATAATCCTAGAACAATGATACCTAGGTTGCTTTCAGTGGGACCAAAGCCCACATTTGCTCAATTAATCTACACTTTCTAGCTAACCATGAAGTTTTGCACACCATCTCCCCACCAACCCAACACCGGTGTTAATCATAAGCATTGGTTATTCCTTGTTTGAGGAGCAGAGCTTTCAGGGAGGGCTCTGGGAAAGGAGCAACCAAGCCCCACTGTCATGTTCAGCTGACACAGCTGTTTATTGTACAACCTCTCCTCCCTGCTTGGACCATTGCCATGGATGATTTAAGTGTGTTTGGACTCCTGGTGGGTGCAGGAGCCTTGCTGGGCCGTCTCCACTGGGACCGGTGACAGAAGAGGGCATCAGTCGTGCTCGCTGGTTGGCAAACCCATGCAACGCCAAGAGTGAGGAAATTAAAATCTAATGCTCCTCAAATGGGCAGCCTGACGCATAATGGAGATGGGGCAGCGAGCCTGGGTATGTCAGGAACATCATTTTAACCCGACAAGACACATGTAACCAGGCATGACACGCTGCCCTGCTGGCACGGGCACGGCTGCGACTGGAACAAAGGCACTTTGCTGCAAATCAGATTCCCCTCACCCCAAACGAATTTCAGCTTGCAGAATTTCATGATTAACAGGCTTTCTAGGATATTTACAACTTTCTGGAGAGAGAGCACCTTTTTTTTCTTTTTTTTTTTTGTAAGAAAAAAGTGAAGTGGAACACACACATTGCCTTTGAAATGTAGCCATAGCAAGGTCATATATTTAGGTGTTACATATTAAAATATTGATTTTTTTAGAATATAAAACCCCTGCTTACAATAAATACAATGCAAGTCATAACCTTTATTATAAAAATATTCCAGTGTTCCACAGTAAAGGGTCATTAACATTGCTATACTGTAGGGTTTGATCATTACTGGAGGATACTATGTTTTGTTTTTAATCAGGCAGTGATTTATATAGAAACTTATTAACAACCAAGATATGGCTCATTTCTGATCTCTGACATGCTTAAAAGATGTTGCAAATTAAGGGATTGATCCTGTAGATGGCTGAGCTGATAGGAAGAAATGTCAATAAGCAAAGTGCTCGCTCTGTCACTGGCCTGTGCCTTGCACATCAGTAGATGTGCAGCACTGAGATGCTAGAGCTGATCCCAATGTCCCTGTACTTTAGAGGGACTTTAGAAGCATATGATTCTTTATTTTATTTTAATTCTGGTTGAACTCTGGTTGAGAGTTGCTTTTTCTTTGAAGTGGAGAAAGCCTCACCCCTAAGAATGCTTTGGGATTTCTCACTCGAGGTGTTGGCTTTCCATCCTCTGGTACTCAGCGTGTGTGGGCAGACATGGGGAATGGAGAGCTTTGGGAAGGGCTGGTGGTGACCAAAGGTGGCTGGGGGCATGGCTGTGAGGGTGAGGGACAGCAGGGAGATGGTGTCCATCACACAGAGATTCTCCAGCTCCTCGTAGTGAGGACAGGAGCTCACAGCCTCTTTAGTGGGCAAAGTGGACTTTGATGGGCTTCTTCCTACTCAAGATATTCTGTGATTCTCAGTGCTGAAAATTCAGCCTTACACTGACAAGGACAGTTCAAACAGCTTTATGTGATCACTTATCATGCCTTTAATTAATTAATTTAAATTATTCAGGCTGCATTGCATCACCCTCCAAGAGCAGTTCAGCCAGGTTTGTGCTGGGGTACTCTTGGCTCCTGCCAGCATCAGCAGTGCTCACAGAACCACTCTCAGGGATAAGAAATAGTGTCCCCCAGCTGTATGACACAGCCCACCTTCCTGGAATGAGGATCTGCTGTGCTGGGATCCCCTGGGATGGGCATTGCTGAAGCCTTTGGGATGGCAATAGCAGAACCAAGGGTGCTGAGGGCAGGAAAGTGCCACATGGCAATTAAAATGACTGCTGGAAATGGAGAGTTCCTGGCTGAAAAAAACTGCCTTCAAATAAGTCCCTTTATGTGAGGAAATCTGTCATGTCGAGTGTTACCCAAGAAAATTTCATAGAGGGGAGCAAAAATCTTCCTGTGCCAGATTGATCCTGCTGCACATGCATTACTTATTAACGTGGGTCAGTTTGGTTTGAGGGGTTTTTAAAATATTTTTTTTAGGTAGTGAATGTTTTCCATTATTTTAATTGGGAAAAGCCTGATAAAAGCAAATGTACACTTCACGTGTCGGAGAACACGCTACAGATTTTTTATTCTCATGTGAAACCTGCTTATATGTCACTTTATATGATTTTCTTTTTAAATTTTATTAGCTGAGTTTTAGTGCTCTTTAAAGTAAAAGTGATAGCAACCAGGTGCATTATGGGGTGGATGACACAGCCCTGCCAACACACCTATGTGAATAATTCCCACATTTCCAGGCTCAGCCGTTTGTGCAGGGCCAGGCAGATGTTTTGTGCTGCTGATGCACAGAAGGCTCTCAGGCAGACACCACCAGTCTGATTTTGAGACCATAAACTGTATGTCACTCCTCTAAAGTGAAATACAGCAATTAAAAAAAAAAAAATTGTCGTTCACTGATTTCACATTTTTGTGCGCATAATTTTTTTCTAATATTTTTCAGTTCTGATGAGAATTTTAAAAATTGAACATATCAAACCCTCCCTACTTTACTTGCTTCCCCTGGCTACTCAAATAGAGAGAATGCCAGTTTGTCTCTTGAACAACCAAAAATAAGTATATGAATTTTTGAGGATAATGAGAGGCACAAACTGCACCCCATGCAGTCACTGCTGCCTGTACCTACACGAGCCTCTTACTGCTTAAAATTTTATATGGTTATTTCTTTTTAAACACCTCAGCAGATTGAAGCAAAGATTTTTGCAACCTGAGTTTAAAGACAAAAAAAAAAAAAAAAAGAAAAAAATAAACCCAAAAAAAGCCTTATATTCTTTTTTCTTCCAGCCTTTGATCCTGGCTCTCCAGTCGTGGGAACCAGGAGAAGTCATCTCCTGTGAACTGTGAGTAGGAAGCTGCGAGGGAATCAGCAGATGAGTTTGAAGGTTAGGCCTTGTTTATGCTGGGGATTAAGTCATTTGTGGTCAGTACCCAAGGCAGCTGGGCTGCTGCAGGCTCCCAGCTCCCATCAGATGACATTCCTGCAGGGAGATTCCTGCAGGGCGTTTCACTCTGCAGGGTGAATCCAGACCTGCTCCTGTCCTTGTGTTCAGATTGGAGCAGAGCTCCTTGGGTGAATGGAAAACTTCAGAGAATAAAAGAGTCCTGGAAGGGATTGATCAAAACCATCATTTTATGGGTGTAGTAATAAACAGCCAAGCCAAGCCTGAGCTGCAGAAAAGCTGCTCCGTGTTTCTCAAGGTCCTGAAGAAAAAAACAATCAGCAGATAGGGAAGTGAAAGGGGGAAGAAATCTCCTAAATTCCTGCAATGCTCTGTCTGTGGGACCATTTCAAATATCTGCCTACATTTGGGAATATCCTGGGTTGTGCTCTGAAAGTTTAAGATTTTTTTCCAAAGGTGGTTTTATTGCCAATCACGATTAGGGTAGATTTACTTTTTTCTAGCAGGCACATGGTTAACATCTTTCTGTGCTTCTAAATTTAAACCCGCTTCCCAGTAGTACTATCCAGGTCTCATTCCTTCTCTATTTCTCTTCCTTTTTTTTCTGTTCCTCTCCCTTTTTCTCCCTCTGTCACTGTGGATTTGATGGGGCTCCAAGTTACAACTGGATGCTGTTGAGATCTGTGCTGAGTTGCACCAACACTCTCTGTAAAGTTTTAGTTTCGTGGACCGCTATACAGCGACTTTTTATGTGTCTAAGAAATGGAAACATTTTGTCTCGTATTAAAAAAAAAAAAAAAGAAATATTTTTATACTGTGCTCCATTCACAGACCACATCAGAGGTATTCTAAGAATAGAATAGATCAAATATATTTTATGGAAATATAATGAGAAAAGGATGTGTTCCCAAAACTCACTCTGAACAAAGGAATGCAACATAGTCAGGAATACTTTAATGCGCCTAACAATTTTCTCATGTGAAAGGCTGAAGGAACAGTCTTGGTTTGAAGAAATCTTCCAATTCTCCCCAGGCACCCTGAACTTGAAATCAGAACTAGGAAAGCTATATATTACAAAAAAAAGAAAATGTATGGAAAAAGTGACTGAGGGCATTAACCATAAAAGACGTTTTGAAAAGAAAAATAACATCAATATGAAACATTTTGTCATGTTCCATTTCATTGATCATATATTTATTTTATGTGCTCTGGAGCGCTGAAGCTTAGATGTAACTACATTTCAGGAGCCTCATATTAGACCTGTCATTTTCTTTGTGGTGAAAACTAAATAGCAAGGAAAAAAAAATAGAATAGATTGCAATTATTAGATTTGGGTTGGATTCCTCTGGATTCTCCTTAAAAACTTAAAAAAATAAAAAAAAAGGGAGCTTGGAAAAAGAGACATTACATTAACAGCTATTAAAGGCACTGCCTGTGTGACAGATAGAGAAGTAGGAGGTACACCTACAATGTAAAATAATGCATCTTTTCCACGGTAATGCAATATGTTCACCTTAAATAGGCTTGTAATTAAACCTGCCACTGTTGATTAGATCAACCATGTAGGAAAGATGCATTTGTATTAGTTCTAATTAAATCTCTTTCAAACAAGTTGGAGTTATGGATTGTTTTTTCCACTCCCCAATACAATAAACATGTATTTCAGATGCTGCACGTGGCTGCCCTGTAGTAGATCTCTGCATAAAAGCCTTTTCTGTAGCTGGTCTCTGATCTCATGTTTCTTCTGCCTCAGGACTGAACTTCCTTTCTAGGCAAAGCCCTCAATGATTTAAATTTGGATTTTTACAGGAGCATGATGGATGGAATCAGGCCATTCTGAGCACCATAAAAAACTTGTTTTAGCGTTGGTAAGGAAAAAATATTTATTATAACTCAGGTTTTTGAGTCTTAATGTGTTTTCCAAAAAGCATAAGGCTGGTTTAGAAATTCCTGGTGGAGAGAAGTGGAGTAGGGAAGGCCTGAGCTTGAGGAGCTCTGGCAGGTTCTGGCACACTCTTGCCACTTTCTCCAGTGGTGGGTGGCATTACTCACACTCAGCATCTCTGAATGTTGCTGGTCTAAAGCCCAGTGAGATCCACTGTGTTCTCAGAACCCCTCTTAGAGTCTGACACCCTGTTAAAGATAAAAGTTACACTCTCCTTGGACTGTCTGGAGTGAGGATTTTGGCACTAAATGGAAATTTTCAGGTATACCAAGCAATGCAATCTATAAATGCTAACCAAGTCCCACTGTGGTGGTAATTTATTTTGGGGCATTTTGTGCAGTTCAGGTTTTCAAAGGAGTGAGTCCAGGGGAATATCATCAGCCTTTCTCTCAGTTCATCATCCCTCCTCTGAGGGCAGAGCAGGTTGTAGGCACGCAGTGAAAATGGAGGGGTTGGAGACTCTGGGCTGCTTTCTGGTGCTTTTGGGCTTTCTCCTTGTCATGGTGCTGCTGGCTTTGTGTGGGCAGGTGCCAAAGCCCTTTTTCTGAGGCAGGATGAGTCTGGAGGGCAGAGGTCCATCCTGGGACTGTCCCCAGGATGGGAGGGTGGCCAGGGATGCTGATTCACCTCTGGGCACAGCATGGCTCTGCTCCTTTGGACTCCTCCCTTGCTGCTGGCAGCCAAGTGGGTCAGGAATTGTGATCATGGCTCTGTGAATGCCAAATTTTATTTCTGAAACAGCCCAAGAGCACTGAAAACCTCCAGGAACCAAGAGTGCTCTGTTTCACATTGTAACACAACTGGAGAAAAAAAAATAAATAACTTGTGCTGTGTTTTCATATTGATTTTCCTTCTCTTGGTGCAGCATTTTCAATTTAAATGGCAGCAGAGTGAGGCACAGAATGGGAAGGAATGTTCTGAGCCCTGCAACTGGGAAAAGAGCCTGGTTTTCTGATTTTGTGTCCGTGTTACCCAATTAAATTTTGTCACTGTCCTGTGATTTCATGTCCAGTGCAGTATTGCTTCCACAGAAAAGCCAATTACAGAATAAGATAAGAGTGACAGTGCCTATATTTAATTACTACTATATAATATATTCAGGAAGAAGATTTTTTTCCATAAAACTTTTTTAGTCAACATGAAGGAAGAGTTTCTGCTGATTTTTATTGTCATAAGACAGAAAATTATTTCATGCTGCTATTGAACTATATTTAACTTGCATCTATCTACAACAGAAAACTTGAAAATCAGTTTGTTAGATTTTATTGCTCCTTTTTATCTCATAAGCATTTTCCTCAAGTACCATTAAATAATGATACAATTTTTAGAATATCAGTTATCAGATGGTAAAAGTTTAATTTTTGTTTTTGTGTTGTGTGTTTGTCCTCTTTGTATTTCTTAGCTGCGGGGGAAATCTTCTACCTTCAAGAAACCTGATATTTTGGACCAGATCCCTGTCTGAACAGGTTGTGTGCTGCCCTTTTCAAAATCAAGCTATCAGAGGATGCCCTTCAGCAGAAGTGTTAAGAGGACTTGGTGAGCTTAACATGTTTCGCCTGCTTAATTTAATTTGGAAAAACTCAACCAGAAAATGAAGTTATTAACAGGTTGGTACATTCAGAGATAAGATGATGTCACAGGAAAGCAGTCAAGTGGGCAGCTTGTCAAAATATAAAATATGTATCTGTCAGAATCAAATGATAGATAAGCTGTGGCTGGGTGTAGGATGCAGTGAAAATAGTGTGCTAAAAATTGAAGCCAAATCCCACCAGTCTGGAGCACAAGTTTTAGTAACTATTGTGGTGAGCAGAAATACAACAATCCTGGGGACGTGAACTGTGCTGCTGGAACACATTGCTGTGTGCAGTTCCTGCCCAGTAGCCAGAAATCCATCACCATGAGACCTGCAAGGGACAGCAGAGACCTTGGAAGAATGGCTGTTCCAAAGATGGGGACTGAAATCAGCCATGGGGTGCCCAATTTTGGAGGATGTGGAGCTGGTGGGGAGAGTCCAGAGGGTTCCATGGAGCTGCTCCCAGGGCTGGAGCCAGGGTGGGAGAGCTGCGGGTGCTCACCTGGAGAGGAGAAGGCTCCAGGCAGAGCTCAGAGCCCCTGGCAGGGCCTGAAGGGGCTCCAGGAGAGCTGGAGAGACACTGGGGTCAAGGGATGGAGGGACAGGGGATGGCTTCACATTGACAGAGAGCAGGTTTAGATTAGAGATTATGAAGAAATTTTTCCCTTTGAGGGCCATGTGAGGGTGCCCAGAGAAACTGTGGCTGCCCCTGAATCCCTGGAGGTGTCCAAGGCCAGGTTGGATGGAGCTGGGATAGTGGAAGATGTCCCTGCCCATGGCAGGAGAGTTGGAACAAGATGTGCCTTAATGGTCCCTTCCAACCCAAACCATTCAATGTGTCTGTAACTAAAATTGGGACACACCATTAGCCCAGATATGTCAAAATGAGCATTAGTAAATCTTTCCCTGGGTAACTTGGAAAGTTTTGAGGGCTTCAAATGTGAGGATAATCTGTCTGGCCAATGTAATGAGCGTTTCAGTGTTGGAGAGGTCAGATGAAAGAGAGGAGCCTCCAGTGTATTCTCCAGGAACGTGTACATGTCGTGTTCCATCACAGTGCCCTTCCTGCCTTCTGGTTTGTCATCTCAAATAGCTGGCACCAGGAGGTTAGAGCCAATAAACTTGGGAATTTTAAATGGCAATTTGGAGTCTCGTATGAGCTAAACAGAATAGGCCACTTAGCAAGGAATGCAGTTGAAGTCCCAAATATTGTGATGGCAAAATGAAAGAAATACCATTACAATGAAAGTCAGTATTGTGTTATCATTGAATTTGGGAAAATGATCCTGTTTGTGTGGAACTTCATTCACTGCAAGTTGCAAAACTGAGCATAAAGGCTGTAAACTCTTGGGGACAGCTCATGAAATGTGCCTGTTTGCTCGGGATCTTCCATGATGCAGAGTTTGTGATGGGAATTCTCAGGACTAACAGAATACAAAGAGTAGAAGCCCTAAATAAAATGCTGCTCTTTTATTTAAAGGTCAGAAGGGACTGGTCTGACCCCTTGATCTATAGGCCATAGTGCTTTTTTCACTAACTTCACCATGATAGTTCCAATTTATGCTTCAGTTTAAATGGTTCCTAAAGACTCAGCTTGAGATATATTCTTCCTCAGGAAAAAAATAATAATGAGGTTTTCTATTGTAAATATTTTTCAGTATAGAAAATATTTATCACCCAAATTCCTGTGGCCTTCTGACCTTCAGAATTTGGTTCTTATTATTTATGCCTGAACAAATTTAACTTTTATCAAAATCCTTCTCTTTCATAAATGAAACAGGTGAAGTTTAAACCTGTAACAGCTCTTAAAAATTGTCTTTTTTTTTGTTTTGGTTTTTTTTTTTCTCCCCTGAGGTAATTCCAACAAGTTTGCTAGGCATTTTATTGTGCTATTTGCAGAACTGAGCATTTTTGGGTTTAATATGATGGGGATTTTTTTGTTTTGTTTTCTAATAGTTTCCCCAGCGCTGTATACTGGGGAGACAGCAACACTGTGCTGCTGTTATCCTCCATTTTATGTATACTCAAGGATCACATTCTTCCTTTGGAACTTCAAGCTGTTGGCATTTTATGTGCTATACTTAGTCTATATCATGTTAATTTTTTTATTTAACAATAATTTTAATGGTGATACAGAATGATGTATAGTACTGCTGTCCAAATTTAAAACATCATAGATATGTATAAACTCCAAAAGTGGAACATAGAATGCATTTTTTGCTTAAAATCTGAAAATAAATCACAAATATCCTGGCATGAGGAGCTCTGTTTTAGACTTGTGTAACGACAATGCTCTCGTAATTGAAAGAAAAAAAAGAAAAAGGAAATTTGGGAGACTGTTAGTCTACATGTGGCATACTTTTTTTCCCTTGAGTTGAAAAAAAAAAAGCCCATTGACACATTTGGACTGAAAAACCCTTTTCTGCACATGTTTTATATATGTGGGTTTATTACACAGATCATGTGTCTTAATTAGGTAATTTATATTGTGTTATCCAAAGAAGATGTTCTTGTTCAATTGGATACACAATGAAAGTTTCAAGAAAACTCATTAATCCTGTTTTTACAGAGATCAGAGCATGGCCATGGAATAACAACAGCTACAAATATATCTCCATATGCTGAGGCAGTTACCTACGAGATCGTGTTCCCTGGATAGTGGTGTTTGTAAATATAGATGTATACACAACACAGGTAGGGATGAATCATACCTTTAGTGGGAATTTTTCTTCCTGATTCTCTTCCTGAAGCTAAATATATTAGATTTATCCACTGTGCGTCTTTTGATGCAAAAATGTATTTACAAATCAAACTGATCTCAATGAGGAACTTTCAGTCGTTTTGTTATCTCAGACAATTTGAGCACTGATGTTTCAGTGGGGTAAGGGGAACTTGAATTTGAGCTCTCCTGACCTGTTTTTTCCTCCTTCCCACAGAACCTTGATATTTTCTAAATGAATATTTTGTTTCCTTGTACTAATCTGACACTGTTCACCCAGAAACTGAATCTAGTTATTGCTGGTTAGGCTAATTAAGATTTCTTGGTTTCTCTCCCCCTTTGTCATTAAAGCTGGATTTGAGCTTCACATACCCTTGCAATTACTTTGAAATTCCAAGTCTCCTTGCAAATACTTTGAGAAATCTGAAAGCTAAATGGTTCCCAAGTTTAAAATAGGATGTTCCCTAGTTGAAAGGCAAAAAAGCAATATTGTTATATTTGTATTCTGATGAAATTCATTATGTACAATATAATTTGTGTCTCCATAACAATCTACTCTTCTTCAATTAGGGATTAAGCTAGATACTGTATTTTCTCTAGATCTTTTTAGTAATTTTTTTTTCATTGAAAATACAGAAGGAATTTGAAGTGTTTGTTACTGGCAGTAAAATATATGTTTGCCGAGTTCCTCTTCTGTTTATTGTAAATCAGCTACAGAACAGCAATCCATGGCATCAATCCAGGAAACTGAGAATATGAAGTTAGGCAGTAAAAAATGAAGAAAAAATCGTGTTTATAAATCTCTATGAACATCTTCCTTGCTATGCACTGAGGACCTGTTCCAGCTCCCTTTGAAGTCAACAAGAAAACTCCCACCAACTTCCAGTGGGATTTGGCCTCTGATTTCCCACATTTGTGTCCAGTTTGGGCTGGGATAGTGCAGGCAGAGAACTGTAACGGATGGGATTGGTGCAAGGACCAGTGCATTGTGGAAGGAAGATGAAGAGATAAAGGTGTTTATCACACCAATTCCATTTTTCATGGGAACACGAGCACTGGAAATGGTGCCACATTGTTGGCCAATTTGTTGATGTGCTACAAGCCCTCACTGCTGTCCACAACTTCAGTCCCCTGAAGAACATCTGAAGTGTAACCTAGGAGAAATCTGTTGTAATTTGCACTCCTGCTCTCTGTATTTATAAGCCTACAATATTGTAAGTTTTTGCTGTGGGTGGACAAGCAACATCCACTCATATCAAAGCAGATACAAGTACAGATAAATATAACTTTATACATTCATTTTTATATAACTTATGCAAATGTATGCACAAGTTAGTCACAGTCTCCAGGCTGGCAGCAGCTCTGATGTGGCCATTGTTGTAGCTCATTTTGGACACCAGTGTTGGACAATCCTCCAAGAAGAGCTTTGCATGTGAGTTAGTGTGCAAGAGCAAGGTTTGGCTGGATGGAGATGGCAGGATGGGACAGAGAGAAGCACAGTCACGGCAATTCATCATCCCTCCAGCCAAGGTATGGCTTAGGCAAGCTTCATGTGAAGGCTCCAAGTGTTTTTTCTCTTGAGGGCATTGCCAAGAGGGCTTGAAGTCTGAAAACTATAATCTAAGCAGTAGGGACCAAGTTATTAATGGATGTTTAGGAGGAACTGGCTTGTGGATGGACTGCAGCCCACACTAGCATCTGTATTTTCACAGAATGATTTGGGTTAAAGATCCCATAGATGTCCCATAGGCAGGGACATCTTCCACTTGACCAGGTTGCTTCCAGCCCCATCCAACCCTCAGCTTCATCTCCCCATCAGCCACCTCCATCAGCACTCCAGCTAGAGTGCTGTTCTCCACTTTTAAATTAAACGAAACATAATCTTTTACCCCATTGCAACACTAATTGCTCCAGAAAAGAAGAATTTTCTCTAGCACTTGCTGTACTGACCATCTTAAAAAACAAATCAAAGACTATAGACACAGCAGCTTATTGTTCTTTTCTGTGTGAACTTATCTGTTCCCCAAAGACTAAACAGAACAAAAGGGACAGTTTTGGTATGTGGGGTTCAGTTGTCAAAATTAGTATTCTTAATGTTCTTCCTTATTTTAAACACCCATGAATAACTTGGTCCCTACTGCTTAGATTATAGATTTTAGTGTATGAATTTTAATAATTCTAATTAATGGTGCTATCTTTATTATATTACTTTGTACTTGGGTTCACTCTTTCATCACAAGATCTCAAAGCACTCTATTAAGCTGCACCAAATCTTTGTAAAGTAGATGAATTTTAGCCTATTGAGTTTATGTATTGGATAAGTGTAGTAAAGGGAATGAACAGTTTCTCCAAAGTTCATTTCAGAGCTTTGCATTGATTCTCTGCAATATTTAAACACTGGGAAAATTAGGCTCCAGAAAACTTGACTCCCACTTCTACCCGCTAAATTATGGATCTCTTTACTCCCCATTTTGAATTTCAAGTAATCTTTGAAAAATTTGTATTCGTGAGTCTTCAAATATGAATAGTGATAATTATATCAATATTATTAATATGCACTATTAAAAGAAATAAATCTACATTTTCAAAGCTTTGATGTGCTTACAAAAACTGAACTTTTAACTGAAAGTGTGTTCTTAAATCACGTATGTATTACAGAGATCTGTTAAGACAGTCTCACAAAGATCTGCATATGCTCAGAGCAATGATTCATGTGCTCCTGCAGCTATGCCCTGGGAGCATCACAGAAATCTGAGGGAATGGACCTGCCCAACACCTCACAGGTTTTTCCTCAAACCAGTTTTGTTGTGTTTGTTAATTATGGTAATTTTTAAAAATCATATTTATTTATATACATATTTATAATTTTTTGTGTGATTTTTATGGTGTTGTAGTTATGTGCTGTAAGAATAACCACCTGGAGATTCTGTCTGCTAAATCCACACCAGATCTCTCTGGTGGACTGTTATCTCTGATAATGTCCCCTTTCAAATCCACCAATCATTGTGGATGTTGTAGTACTTTTCTTAAAAGTTCTTCCTCTCCTTTCCCACTACTCTACACCAAGATGAGAGCTGGTCATTCACCACATGGATTTCCTTCTTCTAAAGGATTTTCATATTTGAGACTTGTTAAATAGTTCAAACTGCTACATCATTACTCTTTCTTTTCCATTTGGGCATTTTAAGACACTTACTTAGCTGGTTTAAAAATAATAAAGTTGTGACCTTTAGTTGACATTCCAAGCTCCTGTTTTGAAGGCTGTGGTTATATTTTGAGGTCGCTGCCTAGGAAAATCAAGACTAACTGAACTGACTAATTCTGAGTGCTTACCTCCTTTCAATGCATTTTTGGGGTGGGGAGTTTGAGTGTAAAGGAGCATGTTTTAGAACCAGTCTCTGCCCAGGCTGCTGAAGGCAGAAGGTGCCTGAGAGTGAAACAAAAATGTTTTGAAGAGCAGGATTGGACTCCCTGTCTCTTCTGCACTAACCACCAACAGCTGGAGAACAGGCTGCAAGAGGCAAGGGGATCACGTCTCATGGACACGTGAGCAAAGTTTCCTTAGCAAAGTTTCCAGGGGAAAGGTACAGGTTTTTTGCTTGATTCTATTTAAATATGATAGAACTTCTACAGATCTTTCAGATCTTTATAAAATATGTAAGTTGCAGTCCACGGACTTTCTGTATCAGGTAAGTGTGGCAATTTGTGGGGCTTTTTTTTTGTTTCTAGCTATTTTTACCAAATTGCTGAACAATGCAGCTAAGCATCAACAGGGACTTAGGTGGGAGGGGGAGATAAGAAAAGTTGAGGGAAAGACAAAAGAGTGTCTGTAGTTGTCCAGGCAGTCTTCAGACTTTTGCACTATGACTTCAAACCCTGGCATCAGTGAATTCTGCCTATTCCAGCAGCAGTTTTGGTCAGGGCAGCAGTACATGGGAGGATGTCCCATTGCAATTCATGGTTCTCAGTAGTGATGGCACAGTGCCTGTACCTATCTGATTCCAGTTCATGTGTGGTCAGAACGTGTTTGATCTCTTCCAGAAGACAAGGAGCATCCCACAGCCACCTTAATATCATCCACTCTGGCATCTGCTGAAACATCTGGTGGTGGCTGGTGCTGGAGACGTTACAGTGGATGTGTTGGGAAACCCATCTGGCTCAGGATGAGAGTTTTTCTGCTCCTCTGTGCTCCACAGCATTGGGAGATCTGGAAGTCCTTCACGCTCTGACCTTTTGGAAGTTGGAATGCTTGGTGCAGGGCTGGCAACGAAAAAAACAGCATTTCCTGCTTAAAACTTTGTGAGGCATATTTTTATTTTAATTGTGTACTTATAACCACTTGTTAAAAATGGGGTATTTTAAACTATTACCTTAGACCATTGTATTTTAGTATAAAAACCCACTCTGTTTCTCAGTGATACTCTTTTGCAGAACGTAGTTATGTGGGGATAGTGTTGACTAGTAATTATTTACTTGGTCAGACTGGTTAGTTTACCCTCAAACCATGCATTTCATTTTAACAGTGGCATCTTAAATAGTTATTTAGAGAAGAGCTGCAGAAGACAGCAACTTCACAGAGGAGGGGAAGAAAAAAAAAATCCAAATAAAAAAAACAACAACCCACCACACACAAGTTGGAAGGGCTTAGAATAAATTATTGCATGTCATTCTGTGGGAAAATCTTCCCGTACGGATGCTGTGTTGTTCGCAATGCGAGTGCCAGATCCACTCAGCTCTGCTTTGCACTTCTGTCACCCTTATCACTCATGAGACAATCCTCCTCTACTGTAAGTGCTACCCCCAGCGGCATGTATTCATTTCTAGGGCTCGCATGCTCCTGCTGAAGTCAGGCACCCAAGAGGCACGGGATGAATTGACAGTATAGGCAGATGCTTTCAGCAAAGGAACCAGGATGTTAAAAGAGCTTTAGCGTGGTTATTGTTTTGCCAGGCAAATCCATGTACTTGTCATCAAGGTGTTCAGGAG